TGGTAATTACCTCTTGTTCTTGGCTTCTCACTCCATTCCTAACAAGGTACTTTTTTTTTTTGCTAGGATGTGTGACAATTTGAGGATTCTCCAACTCCAGATTTTGGTCTGTTAAGATGATCTTCATCTTCTATTTGCTTCTGATTTGCCCAAATTGTTCCATTTGGACAAATTTATTTGTGTAAATTGTTCCACATGCTTAAATTGGCAATCTTTTTGTTCTTTAGTTCTATCAACAAGGGTTCTATTTAAGGATTTTGGAAGAGAAACTTTTTGGGTTGCTGGTTCCAACAAATCCCGTGGATGTTTCCCATTAGACCGGTTAATATACTTTGTTTGCTCAACTTTTGAGACAACGACTCAATTTGCTTAAGTGAACAATAGAGAAAATTAAACGGTAGCCTGTAAAGGTTTATAATTATTTGGTCTGCCTTTAGGTACCTGATCAGCATTATTCCCCTTATACATAGCTTGGTTACACGGACATGTCTCCTCAAGTTCCACACTCAAAAAATGTGATAAGAAAGCAAAAGAGATTAGAACCAGAAGCTAAGCGAGAAAACTTACTTAGATTGCTTGGATTTTATTGGGCAAAATGAGGTCACCCCTTTAGATAGGCCTCGACCTCAATTGACAGTTGTTCTATTTTTACGGCTAGATTTGTAATCTGAAGACTTTGATTGAGTTTTTTCCTCTAATTGCATTCCCTTTGAAAATATGCAATCCAATGTTATAATTCTTTATAGTTGTTTAAATTCTAATATGCTACTACTCTTTTAGAGTGTACTCCAATCATGGTCATTTATAACATGATGCAAATCTTGGAAAACATTATTGGCACCTACTGTGTGGGCTATGTCCATAATCTAGCTGACTTCTTTTGTTGAATGTATGTTCCTCTTAGTTTCTTCTTTATATGTATGCCCTTATTTGTCCTATCGGTTAACATTATCGGTTATCAATGTGAATTATGGTAAGTGTCTTTTCTTTAGTAAGCACTTACGATTAAAGAGTTTTTTCTGTCACTTACCAGGTTAGATTATCGGTCCTCGCTAATATTTTCATTCAATCTTCTGTATGTCTAATTTTTTTAGAATTCTAGACATCAATTCTAATTTTTGAAGTGGATACATAGAATCGTTTCAATGAATCAAGTTGTACATTTGTTGGTTACCCTTTCTATTGTTATTGCATTATTTTGGAAATATATCTTAGGTTATAGTGTATTGTTGTATGTTTGCACTTAGGTCATTTCACTCAATCTCTGGCTTTCTCCAGGTAAGATGTTTCTATATTTTTGCTTCGTATCTAAAAATTATTGTGATTTGAACCAAATCAATAGGTTTGGTGCTATAACAACAGGGTAAGTTGAATAGTTGATTTACCCCTAGGCCCTACCTCTTCTTGGTGGAATATACCGGTTTTGTTTAGTTTATTGGTCACCGTTTTGATTCACCTCCTATGTCTTTCAAATGCCTTCTCACTATCTCAATCTGTTAAGTAGATTGCAAGAAGTAAAAAAATACGAAAATAGAGGGAGATAGACAAAGAATGGGGTTCGAAGCGTTGTTCTTGGAGTTCTTTTTCTGGTCACGCCCCTTTTTGCAAACTCCTTTGTCCAGGTAGAATCTATGTTTTAGATTGGTCAAAAGTCTTCTGTTCATCTTTATTCTAAATCTTGATCAAAAGTTTTCCAATGACTAGAATCCAAGATCATTGAAAGTTTTGATCTTTATGAACCATTTTTCTAATCTACCAAATGGGTGTTTTTCTTTATTTCACTATGAAATCAAATATTCTGATCTTAGATTCTTTTTTCCAACTTGAATTTGCAATTACTTATTAATTGATCAAAGTCTATAAATCTGTAAAGTATTTGTGTTTCTTTTGATCTGATTGAAACTGATATTGGGTTTCGTTTGCTTTGGTTTGATTTGGCAGAAGCAACCCCGAAATCAATGTTGAGATTGATGGGTTTAAAGGGGTTGACATTGTACCATTTGAAGAGCCATTTAGAAGTAGATTTATAAACTTCAACTTGGAGTCTTGTTCTTGATGTTTTTAGAGGTATAAACTTGGACAACAAGCAAAGAAGCAGAACAATGGTGATCCCAACAATCAGAACAATGGTGAGTTTATTCTTGTGCTTATCATATTTTTTTTCTTGTAAGAGCCTGTTCATACCTATAGTTTTTTTGATAAACCAAGAAGAGTTGCCAGTCAACTTCATTTAGTACTCTGCTTCTAAGAGTTGAGAATTTTTACATCATTTTATTAAGTACATAAACATTTATATACAGCAAATATATTAAATAAACTTACATACCTTTCTCTACTTTGGTGAGTTTTGAACCCTGAGTTCCAGAGAGGCCAACGGCTCGAATACTGCTAGGCCAAAGACATTTTGGTTTGCATCCTTTTCTTAGCAACTACTCTTTTCAAAGTATTCCGAGAGGTAAAATAAACAATAAACAATTGGGCTAGGTGGGATCCTTGGGGATTACTTGGGGGGTTTACTTTGATAATCAGTTAGATGGCATTGTATTTTTTAGTGTAGATGGAAAAATTAGTTCAACCAAATTCAAAAAACTGATTCATGCAAATTCAAATAATCTTTCATTTTCTGTTGTTCCAGTGCATTGAGACTAATTTAAAACAAGCATATTATACAACAAATCAAAATAATATAGTATCAAATTTTTTACTTTTAATATTGTTGCATTAGAAATGCCTTGGATTTCACGAATGCAGGCATGGGCTCAGCTTGAGGTACAGCAGGAAAATTATCGCACTGCCAGACAACTTTTTGAGGTAAGATCCTCTACAAGCGATCAATGTTGATCCATTATATATGTATCCCGAACTAACTATTGTTCTTGTTGAAACTTCATAAAATACTATAGTTGGTAATAATGAGTAATGTTGAACACTTTATAGAAATGTAAATGAAAACAATAGTTTATTTGCAAAGAGAAAACACAATGACACCGAGTTTGTAGACTTGTGTGCGTTGTGTACTTGGGTTAGTTGTTATAGTAAGTTAGTAACATACAAAATGAGCACCATACCTATATAATGTAATCTTCAAGTTATTCCAACATTTCTGTTTTTGTTCTCTTGTGTGTTTAGCAGTACAACGAAGGAACGAGCGAAGTCCAATTCAGAAAACTGCTACTGCTTGTGTAAATGCAACTTGTAAACTTGCTCATTGTGTATATAAGAGAATACTCAGCTCACCGACTCCATCTATTTTGAACGTTCATTTGTAGACTCCTTGGATGCAGATGTTGGTATAGATGCTTTCACAGTGACTGTTAAAGTGGAGATTGAACTATTACGCATTTGATCTAGAGGCRGTGGGGTTTGATTTTTGGTCATTTCGATTGATTAGGATATTGGTTTTTATTTTGGTTTGTATAAGATAATTTTTTTTTCCAAATGTATTCATTAGATATTTGTTTCTTCCTTCATTATAATTATTTGGACACCATAATAGATTTTCATGCTTGTGTACAATAAAGTTCACCTTTTATTCCTTATTTGTTACATAGTACTTGATTACATCTTGTTAGATCGCGCGTGTACTCAATTATAAGGAATCGAGGTTTCAATATTTCTAAGGGTTCCCCTGAAAGATCGAATGTTTAAATATAAATTTTGTACTTTTTAATGAAAGATTGCACTTTTTTTAGTTGTAGATTTATTGAAAAATTTGACATCCCGCCGCATTGTGCGGGCATACAACTAGTTAAATATTTAAATGTTACCATTTATATAATTTTTTTTATTACGTTTTCTTAATTAAGATTTATTAATAACTTYCATATTTAATAGAAAATATTGTAAATGACCGAAATACCCTTATTGATTAAATTTAATTAGAAAAAAAAAGGAATTTTCCTATTGGTTGAAATTGGTTCACACGGTTTCTTAGAAATGCACGATTTTCATTTGAACGTGCCTATATATATAACAAAACGTATTTATAAACGTATATATATAACAAAACGTATTTATAAACGTATATATATAACAAAACATATTTTTAAACATATTTATAATAAAACATATTACAAACATATTAATAACATATTAAAAATTTATTAATAACAAAAAATTTGAAAAAAAAATTAATTTTTTTTTTGAATGGGCCCGGTAGGGACCGGAATCGGGACCGGCAAAGCATAACTGGTTATAGGTTAGCTTGACCGGTTACAAGGATTTCCACCGGAATCGGGACCGGTTATGGAGGGACCGGTTTTGGCCGGTTTTTGCTTTGGTCAGGACCGGTAGGGATCAGTTACGGCCCTGCCTAGGACCGGTTTTTTGCCATCACTAATCCACATCCATGCAATAAAACACAACTTTCAAAAGTGTTACCCCAACTTTGTAATTATCTCATACATCAACGAAATTTATATAACTCTTACGTTTTATTGAGATGGAAACAAATCAACCTAATTAAGGCTATTAAATAGACAAATATTGATAAGATTAATAATTAAAAATAAAAGAGATATTACAACAATAATGTAGATGATCAAATATTGTTATTCTTGATTGAAACATGAATTTAGGTAGAGATATTATGCTTATCATATCCATTAAAATACTTAAGATTAATATAGTAAATTATAATGTAATTTATATAATATGGTAAATTAATAAAAAAATTATTTGTAACTCAATCATAATTTTTAAATAAGTAACATGTCATATAGATTACTATAATAATATAATTAATCAACATCATAAATTAACAAAAATTATTTTAATAATAAAACAAAAATATTTTATGTTTATTGAATTAAAATTAATTTATTTAATAAAAAAAGAAAAAGAAATGACTTGGTGTCGCACTTCATCTTTCCATATGTGAAAGTGTGAGAGTGAGGTGTCATCTCCAACTAGGTGTGCAAGACCTTTTCAAGACCCTTGTGGATCAAATTCAAAGCTACCCAAATCCTGAATTTAGGCCAAGAAAAACCACAAACAAAACCATGATGAGTTCAATGAGATTATTTGTAAGGGCTTACGAGAGTTATAAACCTTACATAATAATGCTTGTAGTTCAAGTAATATATGCAGGCATGGCTTTGTTATCCAAAGCATCCATTTCTTCCGGGATGAATCCTTCCGTTTTCGTTGTCTATCGGCAAGCCTTTGCCACTCTCTTCTTAGCCCCAGTAGCATACTTCTTTGAGAGGTTCAGAATTTATATTCATCTTTTGAGTTCTGAAGTAAATTGTGATCTAAAACTTAAGTTTTTGTCCCTCTCTGGTAAATTTGTGCAGGAAGAATGTACCTCAGTTATCCTACACCTTGACATGCAAGATTTTCTTCAGTTCTTTGATTGGGTAGTTACAAGAAACTCCAAATTTTGGCTAATCTTGTCTACCATAACTGTTTCCTACGATATATAATTACCCATATTTGACCTACCTACAATTACTTCAGGATTACAATATGTTTGAATATGTACTATCACGCATTCAATCATACATCTGCAACGTTTGCTGCTGCCACCACTAACATGATTCCGTCTATTACTTTTGTGATAGCTCTTATTCTAAGGTATATATGGTCAATCTTCATTGGCAGGGACGATCCTAGCTATATATATATATATATATATATATATATATATATATAGGATCAATCAAAATTATTATGAAATTGAATTTCGCACAAATAAAAAAAATGTTAATTAATGAATCTGACCTAGCTATTTTGAAATGAAAAACTGTAGGATGGAGAGAATGTACATAAAAGAATTGCATGGTTGGGCTAAATTGATTGGAGCTACAGCTTCATTTTCTGGGGCTCTTGTGTTTGTTTTTGTTAAAGGACCAACTTTTGTTAAAGAATTGCAAGGTGGTGAAGTTGCTTCAAAGACGAATCAATTTAGTTCAAAATTGGAATTTCTTAAAGGCCCTCTTTTAATGCTTTGCTCAAACTTCCTTTGGTCATGTTGGGGCATCATGCAGGTTAATTAACACATTCAAGTTGTTCATAGTAATTACTCACTCACTTTTGGTCTATGGACTTTTGACTTATTAGTGATTTTGCAGGCACTTATTATGAAGGAATATCCAGCAAAGCTGTCCCTAATTACTCTTCAATGTTTCTTTAGCTTGATCCAAGCAATAGTTGGGGCAGTAGCCATGGAAAGGAACCTATCTTCATGGAAGCTTGGATGGGATATTAATCTCCTTTCTATGGCCTACTGTGTATGCAATATTCTTTTCATCTATTACATATATTTTCATTTGATTTCTACAAGTAATTTCAAATACGTCAAATTATTAGTACATACTTTTAGCTTACACCATAAGTTAGGAAAGGTGAGGACATGCGAGAAGCCCAATAGGAAGAATAATTTTTACTTTCATATATTTTTGCACTTCATAATTATATTTCTTTCTTTAATTTTCACTAAGAAGTTGATCACCATCCCTTGCCTCAAATTCTTGATCATGATTTATGGCCTGGTTAGTATGTACACAAACCTATATTGATTACACATGAAAACACCTAAAGGTTTCCCATTTGATTTATGATGCCAGATGAGACCAAGAGCCCAGAACTTTAGCCTTTTGGGGTAAAACAAAAGCTAATCAAATGGGCCAAAAACAAAAATTGGTTGTCATGCATGCACACTGATCGATACCACTTTATTCGCTTTGCTCGTTGAGTTTTTCAAAGTAAATTTATATTTTGGGCATTTAATTCACTTCATTTTGGTGTGGAAATGGTAGGGAGTAATTGTGACAGCATCCACATATTCGTTGCGAATATGGGTAATAGAGAAGAGAGGGCCTGTCTTCACTGCCATGTTTACTCCATTGGGGCTCATCATCACTGCCGTTGTATCATTATTCTTGGGGAAGGAAACACTTTACTTTGGAAGGTCTGTCTTTGACTTTCTTTTGAAGATCCCAGTGATCCACATAAACCCTAATACATCCTACTTCATTTTCTTCAACTATTTTAGATTTTGAACAGAAAAACATATGGTCAAAATGACTGTAAAAGACTTGGACACCAAAAGTTCTCCTAGAACACCATTTTGATTGTCGTTTCGAGAAGCCTATGACATCATCCATAAAACCCTAAATGTGTAGTTTTGAAACCCTACAAACTTCGTTTTGAGATGTCACATGTGGTATCCCTCTGTAAATTTCATAAACTTCTTGCAAAATTTTAATTCCAAAGGGTAAAATTTAAGCTTTCCGAATCATAGACTTGACCATAAAGAAGTCAACATTTTCATATATACACCAAAATCTAACATTAAAACAAAGTTAGAGTGCTTGTTGCAGTGTTTGTGGGGCGGTACTGCTAGCAGGAGGACTGTACTGTGTTATATGGGGAAAGAGTAGAGAAGTTGAAAGCAAAATCAGTGGACAAAAGCCTGAAGAGGAAACCACGTTGGAATCCATTAAAGCACAAGAGTGAGCTCTTGTTAAATGCAATAACGCATCAAGTGTGGGCCGGATTGATTGTGTCATAAGCATGGATAATGGATAATATTGATGATCGAGAACAAGACAAAATCGAAAGCTTTTGTTAAGGTTTAACTATAGAATAGATGCTCCTGAAATAAAGAAGTCACGTACGGCTGTATCAATGTATGTATAGTAGTTGCTAGCTTCTTCCCTGGAAACCACGGTAGGATATTATATCTGTTAGTATATGTTTTGAGTTGGTCTTCTTTACATGAGTAAAAGCACTCTCTCTCTCTCTCTCTCTCTCTCTCTCTCTCTATATATATATATATAGGGTTGGGTTCACGTGAGATCAAGGGTTTTTCGTGAGACCTGTAAGACCAATTTATGTTCATTGATCAACTTTATAACCTAATGATCTAATGGTCTAAAGTTGCACGGTGGCAATTTTGTGATTATTGAGAAGTCTCGTGGCGTTTATGAATGTTCAGATTCTCAGATTGTAGATCTAATCCAAGGGTTAAGAATTGGTCTTACGGGTCTCACGAAAAACTCTTGATCTCATATGATCCCAAGTCTATCAGGGTTTTCTGGACAAGTAGTCAAATCAGGATTAGTGAGAATGTGAAAAAAAGATGATTTATTAAGATTCAATAAGAATAAATAGTGGATGAGACCTATGATTTGCAAGTTTATGAATAGTTGTTTGAGAACTTTAATTAATAGAATTTTGTGGCATGTAGTGGAATCCCAATAAAAGATGAAGAATTCAAAAATGGATGAAAATATTTGAATTTCCTTGTCATTTTCTTGCTCTACTAAAATAAGATGGTAGGATTTATAGTTTATGGAACATGACAAACATAAGAGAATTGAAATTATCGAATACTATACATTCAGTAGAGAATTTGTTGATTAATCACAAATCCATGAAAACGTCATAACTCATAATAATAACAATAACAACAACACAACAATAACAATAACAATAATAATAATAATAACAACAACAACAACAACAACAATAACAATAATAATGAATAATAATAGATGATTCGTCAAACAATAGTCCAATATCGTTAGTAGAAGAAAAAATAGATAGCAATAGCCAACCAAAGTAATAAACAAATAACAATAGCCAGTAAAAACATAAATAGATAAAATTATCCAACAAAAACATATGTCAATAACAAAGATATGAGCGTAAAGTTGTTATCCATTGAATTGTTGAAATATATGGTTCTAAATAACTCGTTATAGCCTCATTATGCTGCATTATGGGATGAAGGCTTGGGTTCACGCCACGTTAACCCCCATTGGCTTCACTCTATGCTCGACTTGCATTGTGACATGTTATGGCGTGATACAACATGTTATGGCGCCTTACTACACGTCATTATATAAGGTGTGAGGTTACTTTAATATATAACATGAGGGGTAAATGATAATTATGTACGAGACATGGAACTAAAATAAACATAAAAAAGAAACTTAAAAACTAAAACCTTAAATAGGCAAATACTCACTCATATATATTCTCATACATGAAAAGTTGAACATGAATTCTTTGAAAATTGAAACAAATAGTGAGTAGAGATTTAAGAGATTTAATCGTGATTTTGCCTTCTTTAGAACCTTGAGTTAAACATATAGAGATAACAATAGCCAATAACATTAAACCATGATACTTGATGATAAAAAATTAGAGAGACGATAAGTAATAACATATAACAAATCGCCAGTTAACATTTTTTGATTTTTTTCTCCAATGTAATTAGTTAATATATTTGTAGTCCTTGTTATCTACTAAGTTTTTTTTTCGTCTTATTATATGCTACAAATTTTTTGGCTCTCTTTAATATACTGTTTTTTTTTTGACAGGGTCATGCATTTGCATTAGGATACTGAACAGAGAACCAAAAATTCTTGGGTCCCAAATCCAGTCATGTCTTAGCTTTAAGTTTTAGCCTAGTCTCGGAGCCAATTTTGTTTTAATTCGGCGACACCTCACACCTGTAAGCAATTTTTGGCCTTTCTCTAGTCGTCTTCATCGATTGAACTCCCTTGGCTCCTTCACTTTATTTTCCCGTCATTGGCAACATGACCTTTCAAATCCATGTTGTAGTTTCTTTTGATTGTATCATTAAACAATGGCTCCTTAAATTTGATTATTATTCAACTTCAACGATGATGATCACCGAATCATATTTCAAAATCTCCTGCAATCACTCTTGATTAAATAATCTTTTACCTGCAATTTCTATCTTGCTCTATGATTTAATCAATGTTCATCAATTTCCTACTCATCCAGTTCAAGTTTTGACGACTCAATAAGTTGTTTATCGATATATATATATATATATATATATATATATATATATATTGTAACTAAGTTTACCGATCTAGATCATATGTGATAAGATTTGATACAATGATATGATTTTGAATTTGTTGTTGGTTGTAGGTTTGTGAAACCTAAAAGTAATGATTTTGCTTGTTTCCCCCTTTGATGTTTTGTTTATAACATTAAACCTAGTACCACATTTTGCTTGGTGCAAAAACTATGATTTGTTTGATGAAATGTTAGACTTTACAACTACGTTTTATGGCAACACCCACTACCATTTTTTTCTTGTTTGCATAATCATAACTATTAGCAAATGATGAATCGTAATCTGGTAGGATGAAGTTGGATTTGATTTGATAACACCAAGATCAATCTTTTATTTGCATCCTGCATTATTATATTACATGGTGTGGACTATAATTACTTTTAGAGTGACCATCTATCTATTTTTTCGCAATTTAATCATTGGTTTAAATTTGAAATTTTTTAACAACAATCTACGTACCATTTTGTCAAATACTACCCCAATTTATATATGGCATCAATACTTAAGTTCAATATTACAAGTAAAATGTGTATAAGTTCAATCTATTAGAACTCCATGTTTGAAATCTTTAATTAACTATAGATAAACACAATCAAATGCATGGTAAACTTTTTATTTTAAATATAAAAAATATAAAATACAATGATTATCTAACATAACACTTAATTATTATCCTTATAAAAAAAACTATATTATTAGACAAAAAATAAATTACTTCGTTATTGAATCTAAATTAAATTATAATAAAAAATTGAATTAAAGAAATTACACAAAAAACTAGAATTTTTATATATTTTTTTTCAAATTATTATGACATTTTTAAATTTGTATTTTATTTAAAAATAAAAACATTATCGATTTCTCAAAATCACATAAAACCGTATTATAACATTCATAAAGACAAAGAATAAAATGAAAAGTTAAAAATCGAGATGAATCTGGTTGCATAGCACGAATGCGCTTCTAGTTCTTTGTGTTGATTTGAAGAAACCCAAGAAGGTGAAAGATGTTAATGAAGTAGCTACATCACTTGTTAAAGGACCAACTTTAGCACTCAGAGTGGGTTACATATTTCAAGCACTAAATTGATATGTTACTCGTACGCATTTTTTATGTCCACAAGTTATCCTTCGTGTTTAATCAATGACGTTATCACCTTTAAAAAGAAAGTTAAGGTTTCAATGTATGTTACAAATATGCACAATCTACAATACACTTGTTTAGGTTATGTTTCCTTTTATATTTTAAGTTTAACTGAAACTCTTATTTATTTAATTATAAATTAGGTTTTTGAAATATTATTTAAGTAACGTTTTAAACATTTTTTTCTTCACTTCTTTTCATTATATCATTATGTGTTATTTATTTATATATTATTAATTAATATTAATTATCAATTACATTTGGAATATTATGAATCATATTAATTCTTTTATATTGCTATTATTTATTTTTCAATATATTAGAAGAGTATTCGTGCAATGCAGTGAAATATATCTTGATTTTAATATTTAATTTTATTTTTTATCTCATGTCGATGTTGTAGTACGGTCTTATATGATTTAAAAAAAAATGATGATGTTTTTATTTTTGAATAAATATAAATTTGAAGATATTATAAAAAATTGACAAAAATTATCGATATTAGTATCAAATTAACTATTTAAAATTCATATTTTTTTGTAATTTTTTAATTCAATTTTTTTATTGTAATTTAATTTAGGTTCAATAACGAAATAATTTATATTTGGATTAATAATATAATTTTCTTATAAAGATAATAATTAATTATTTTGTTAGAACTCGATAATTATYCTAATTATATTTTAGATTTTTTATATTTTAAAATGAGATGTTTATCCTCTATTTGATTATGTTTATCCGCAGTTAGTTACACGAATTCAAACATTGATTTTTAATAAGCTGTACTTATGCATAATTTACTTCTAATCTTGAATTTTCAGTAATATGCATCAATATACAGTACTTCATGCATAAAAAATAGTTTTTAAGAGTTTTTATCAAATATTTTATAATATAGTATAGATATAGTCTACGAAATACCAAATAGAAGAATTCATAAAAACATTTTTATAAGTTATTTAAATATTAAGTTTTTTTTGTTTAAATTTTTTTGAGAAATAATTATACGAATCTAATTTTGGGCATATTTGTGCAATGTTGGGCTGGAGACTCTCTTCATAAGAAATTCGAGCAACTACATCAAATACAGTATCGGAAAGTATCGTTTGCGGAACCTCTTTTGGCTTAACTTTATCCTAGTTTTCCCGAGTAGTTTTTTTTATTTGAAATTCTTGATCTAAATTTTCTAATTCCAACTTTATAAAAAACCAAAATATGAATTTTAACCCAATATACTTGGCCTTCGCGAGAACCGCACCAAGGTTTAGTAAAAAGTTTGAAAGTAGGACTTGAATTTTGACAAGTCTAGAAATCATCCTTGTTGTATGGATTTTGCTCTGAATATGGTCCCTAGTCAATAGCTCCGTTAAATGAGGGGCAATTTTAAACATATGAACACAAATTGAACATATATGTGAACACTTGTGGCAATTATGAACACAAATTGACATATATGAACACTTGTGGCAATTATGAACACAAATTNTATGTGAACACTTGTGGCAATTATGAACACAAATTGACATATATGAACACTTGTGGCAATTATGAACACAAATTGAACATATATGTGAACACTTGGCGTAATTATGAACACAAATTGAACATATGAACACTTGTGACAATTATGAACACAAATTGAACATATATGAACACTCTTGTGACAATTATGAACACAATTGAACATATACAATTTCTACTATTTTTAACCGATG